TGTACTCAGACCAGTAATATTTGGGGTCACAAGTTTTTGCCATGAATATTTTGTGGGCCAGAAGATAAAAAGTTTGGGAACCACTGTTCTAGCCAGTAGAGTGCAGAAAGCTAACACCGTCCTCTGATGTTCACTGAAGGTTACCTTTTTTAAAAATGTAGTGAGTAGAAAGTACAGATAATTGTGTAAAAATTTAATAAGTGAAAGTAAAAAGTATGCTGAAAAATAATTACTCAAGTAAAGTACAGATACCCAAAAATTCTACTTAAGTACATTAACAAAGTATTTGTACTTAGTTACGTTAAAACTCTGAACCTAAGAGAAGCCTGTTCTCAGTCTGACTCATTTTGCCTGCAAAGATCACAAATTGTGCCAAACAAAACCTTAATTAATAAGCTTTGCAGTGCAGCTTTATGTTAAGGTTAAAAGATGGTTCAAGAAAAGCATTAAAAGTCCCAAAATGACAACAACAGGGCTCACAAGAGGATGGGAAACTCTTACATACAGAATCAAATAATACTCATACCAAATAAAAATGCAGTATTTCCAACAAAGGCTCCAGTCTGGATTCAATTTGTTAACCTGTATAAGGCACACAATGGTAATCAAGCCTTTACCTGTCCACCCAACTGTAAAACAGCCCATGGGATGAACCACAAATAGAGCATTAAATGTGTTCCAGATTGAATCTGAAAAGGCAAAAAAGGAGCGTGTGAAGCTTTAATACTCAATTTTCCAAACATGCTGTTGGCTCATTAAGAAAGTTATTTTTTTAGCTTGGTATTCTTTACTCTTCTACATTTTTATATCAAAATGTCAGTTTTCTCTGAGCTTAGATTATTGTAAAGTCATGCTGTAATTTTGGGCTTCAGATTTTATTTGGACATTTTTTAGATTTTGAGAGACTGAAAATAAATTTTTTTTTTAGTGATAACATCTTTATCTAAGCCAAACTACTAAACTAGTTATTGGTTGCTACCACAATGCCTGATTATGGGCACACTGAGAGAATAACCACCACCTCCACCGCCCCCCTCCCACCACCCCAGTTCCATTTGTGGCCTCCAGCAAGGTGATGAACCCAGGCTGGCTACTGTGACCACCACCAACTCTACATATTTACACACAATTTCCATCAGGGAACAAGGATCCTAATGAAAGCAGAAGGGCGTGAAGGAGAGCAGGGGGGAGATCACATTGGTGGTCAATTCCTGATTGTTGATGAGCTCAAAACAGTGGTGACAAAACTCAGATTGACTCTGGTGGACCAGAAGTTTGAAAAGATGGGTATTTGAAACTGCAATGTTCAAAAAACATGTTGGCTTCTGGCCCAGTGGGATTTTCCTGGGCAAAGAAAATATAAATATGAATATTTATTAATTAATATATTATG